GTATCCACTGTGTCTGGAGGTGGTCTGCAGGCTGAAAAGACCTAGAGGGCAAGAGACAAGGGGCTTGGGGGCTGGTGGTTGGGACTCCATGGTTGTCACCATCCCTAATGTTTTCAAAGAGGAGAAGAAGCTAAGGCATCCCAACTTCCCATATCTGTCACTCAAATCGCTTCCCCTTCCCTTATGCAAAGATTTCTTTCCTCAAGGATTTTCTCACACTCCACAGGATTGCCTGCCCCTACCCCCTGGAACCCCGTCTAGCCCTGTTCTCACTCCCCACCCCTGCCCCGACCACCCTGACTGGTCCCCCAGTGTATCTCAGACCACACACTGTGGTTTGTTTGTTTTTGAGATAGAGTCTCACTTTGTAACCCTGGGTAGACTGCCCTGGTGTCAAAACTCAAAGTAGCCTCAAATTCTTGGGCTCAAGCAATCCTCTTGACTCAGCCTCTGAAGTAACTGGGACTACAGGCGCCTGCCATAACCCTCCTCTATTTTTTAGAGACAGGGGTCTCATTCTGGCTCAGGCTGATCTCGAACTCCTGAGCTCATGCAATCTACCTGTCTTGGCCTCCCAGAGTGCTAGGATTACAGGCATGTGAGCCAACGTACCTGGCCCTCCCAGGCACTGTGTTTTGAATGGAGCCAAGGTGAACCTGGAGCAAATCCCTATCAAAAGCTATTAACCCCTCAGGGTGGCCCTGAGCACCCCCCTCACTGAGACCCAAGGCCATGGTCATGGCCTCCTGGGGCCATTCCTTCCTCAGGAGAGTCTGGAAGCCTGGGCATGGGGAGAGGGTCACTGGCCCTTTAAGGGCACATCCCCATTATGTGCCTGGGCCAGGAGGTGCTCAGGCCTAGGGAGGACAGAGATCTGGTCCCCTTTTGACATTCTCCCATTTACTCCTAACATCACCTCTTACTATAAGCAGACTACCACCCAAAGATAAGGCTGAGACCACACCTTACCTGGTCACCTTGGCTGAGCTGAAAGTCCAGGCTTGAGGACAGGGAGCCCCTGGTTCCCCCAAGGGCCTTGATCTTATGGCAGTAACCCACCTGAGCAGCTGGTTCTCCCTTCATGCCCCCTCTACCTGATGGGAAGACAGGTGAGCCACAGGTAAGCTGTGAATGTCCTCCAAATAGGAGTCTAGCTTCTAGAACTAGCTCTCCCACTAATATGCTCTGTGACCACAAGCCATTCACTTCCTCTGGCCAAATAAGAGGGGTGGACTGGATGTGCAGGGACTCTCTTGGTGTTGAAGTGGCAGCCAAGGGTGGTCTCCTGATAGGTGCAGAAAAGAGATTGAATGGAGACTAGCCAGTCGGGAGGAGCAGAGTTGTACTGGGAAGAAAGAGAAGGTTCTTGTTGAAGTTATTGTCAAGTGAGCCCAAAGATCTGAGAGAACATTCCAGATTCCTCATGGTCACCAAGAACTGACACCATCCGTGCCATGCTAAGAGAAGTCAATTCCTCCACCAACCAAAGGCTCCCCACCAAAGGGAGTCCCCCACCCCAGCTCAGCTGGAGGACAACTCCTGTCACCCATACTGGGTCTTCATGCCTTTGCCATGGATAAAGCCCGAGAGGTGAGCCAAAAGTCCCCAGGTTCCCTGAATGGCCTGACAGGAGGATGCCTTGAGGGCTCAGCTATCTGCTTACTTAGCACCTTGCTTCTCTGCCATCCTTCACTTGAGGCCACACAGCACAGGGATCACCTCAGCCTAGCAAAAGCCCCAAGACCCCTTCCCTGTCCCATCAGCCACTTCCCTCCCTCCTTAACCCCAAAATGCCCTCAGACCCTAAAACTTGCACCCCAGTGTCTCAGCCCACCAAAACCTTCCTTTCCTCTTTCCTGACTCCTGCCAACCCAGCCTCAGATCTCAAAATAAATACCCCGGTCCCCTGAGGGCTTCTTGCTGTGGGGCTCTCCGGGGCTCTCTCTGGCTCTGCAGCAGCCCTCTGCTGGAGAAGGAAGGAGAGTGGGCAGGTGGGCGGCAGGTGGGCAGCAGCTGCCTGTGGCTGAGTTTCCACGGGAGTAAGAGAAGACAGGAAGGTGTGACATTTAAAGTGGCCACAAATCGGAAGTGGGGGGTGAGTAGGCAGGGCTGGGGGCCCTGCAAGACTTGATAAGGCAAGACCCAGCCTTTGCCTACCTACAACAATTCTGCACGCCAACTTGCTGGGTCTGGGTTGCAGTGAACTGGGGCTGCTAGAATTTCAGGGTGTGTGTGCACTGGGGCTAGGAAGGGTGTTATCTCTGATCTCAGAGAACTCATGAGGCTGAGCAGGAGAGAGCAGGGCTCAAAGGCCAGGGTGGGGTCCTTCTGGGGATAGGGGCCAAATTGAAAAGGAGACAGGGCATTGATGATGATAGTGATAGACAGGGATAGGAATAGGCAGAGATAGTGACAGAAGAGGCAGAGCTGGGCAGCGCCTGGGGCTCAGTGAGTAGGGCACTGGCCCCATATACTCAGCAGGTGGCGGGTTCCAACCCAGCCTTGGCCAAACTGCAACAAAAAATAGCCGGGCGTTGTGGCAGGCACCTGTAGTCCCAGCTACTCAGGAGACTGAGGCAAAAGAATCGCCTAAGCCCAAGAGCTGGAGGTTGCTGTGAGCTGTGATGGCACAGCACTCTACCGAGGGCAACAGAGTGAAACTCTGTCTCTAAACAAAAAAAAAAAAGAAGAGGCTGGTGAGAAAACAGGCAGAGACAAGAACAGGAACACAGAAGGGTATGGAATGAGACAGAAAAGAGCAAGCAAGTGGTCTCTCAGAGCAAAGGCCTCGAATACAGCAAACATGTCTTCCTCCTCCTGGGCCCATCTCTCATTGACTAATCCTGGGAAAGCCTGTTCTCGAATCCAGATAGAAAGCTGAGGTCCCAAGAAGGGAAGAGATAATTCATGGAGGCTCCAACATGGGCTTAAAGCATGACTAGATACAAACAGGAATGCCTCCTCGGTCAGGAAGCAGATTTTTAGCCTGAGCAAATTTCATTATTCCTGGGAGCATGAGATGGTGCTCCCCCATCTGGTCACCCCCAGGGCCTCCCACGAATTCCTGTGTGTCCAAGTCTGGCCCAGGGACACAGTCTCCACCCCAGCCATGCCTCTCTGGAATGCACAGAGTCTTCTCAGAATATTCACCTCAGCTGGGGCGGATTACTGGTGTTTCTCCCCCAGTTCAGCCCCTGGAACTGCCATTTATGTCTACAGTGCTCCATCACTTCCCGCCACGATTATTTGCCTACATGTCTGTGAACATCTCAAGGGACCATTGTCAAATCATTTTTTGTTTCCTATGTAGACATTTGTTAGGTTGGGGGGGGTTTGATGCCTAGTCTAAAACTTTTCCCACATGTGAATCTTTTGGGGTTTTTTTAATTGTTGTTGTTGGGGTTTTTTTGTTTTGTTTTTTGAGACAGAGCCTCAAGCTGTCCCCCTGGGTAGAGTACCGTGGCTTCACAGCTCACAGCAACCTCCAACTCCTGGGCTCAAGCAAGTCTCTTGCCTCAGCCTCCCAAGTAGCTGGGACCACAGGCG